GGCCCAGACCCAGCCACCGAAGAGGAGGCTGGAGTCGGTGGTGGAGGAGGGGGCGGCCGTGCCGGGACCTGTCCCTGGTGCATGGGGACCAAAGGGACATCGGGGACGGCAGCGTCTGTCCATCAGGGCGTAGATAAGGGGGTTGATGCAGCTGTTGATGAAGGCCAGGCAGGTGCTGACGGCCACCACCCACCTCAGGGCCACCTCTTGCCGCTGGGACAGGACCAGCGTCCCCTTGGCGAGGAAGAAGAGCAGCACCTTGCAGGCGTTGAGGGGCAACCAGGAGCAGAGGAAGGCTGCGACGATGGTGATGATGGCACGGTGGGAGCGCCGGACACCCTTGCCCAGCCGGACGTGGCGCTGGAGCTGGCAGTAGATGGAGCAGTAGCAGAAGGAGATGACCCCCAAGGGCAGGAGGAAGGTGAGGAAGACCATGGCGAGGCTGAAGTCCTCTCCATCTTCATCCCAGCAGTCGTCCCCGTCCAGCTGCCGGTACACCAGGGACGGGGTGCCCAGGAGGAGGGACGCTGCCCAGATGATGCCGCAGGTGATGTGGATGTGCCTCTGGGAACCCATCATCTTGGTGTCCAGCACCTTCCTGATGACCAGGTAGCGCTCCACGCTGAGGGCGGTGAGGAAGAGGATGCTGGAGCAGCGGTTGACAGCGATGACATAGCTGCTCACCTTGCAGAGCCCTTCGCCCAGCGGCCACCGGTTCCCCCGCACCCCCGCTGCCACCCAGAAGGGCAAGGTGCAGACGAAGATGACATCAGCCACCGCCAGGTTCAGCACGAAGGTGTCCACCATCCTTTTGCCCCCGCTCTTCTTGGCCATCAGCACGATGACGAAGAGGTTCCCCACAAGGCCGAGGAGGAATATGAAGGAGTAGAGGATGGGGATGAAGACAGAGGTGAAGAAGACCTCCCATCCAGAGGAGACCTCCCAGTTCCCCGTCACACTGGTCACCGGTGGGTAATCGTAGTCGGCCGAGCCAGCGAGCTCCTCGGGAGCCATGGCGGTGGCCGGGTGCTCTCCCCGGTGCCCAGGGCGGTGCTCGCCGCACCCAGTGGTTGGGTTGTTGATCTGAGATCTGCTCAAAAACAGCATCTCGCACTTCCTTTCCAACGGGGCAAGGGCTTTGGGGTAGAAGGGGCAGGGAGCGAAGCGCATTTAATTTTGGAAACAGAAAAAAAAAACAATGAGAAGAAAGAAACCCCCAAAAAAAGAGGGGGGAGAGGAAGACCAGGGGGGTGGGGAAGGCTCTGCATCACCCGGTGGTGGCTGAAGGTCTTGGGTGGACACCAGCCTGCATCTGGGACGGTGGGACCACCACCAGACCAAACTACCA